GTGCAAACCCGCCAACCCTCACCTGTGGTTTGTCGTGATCGCAGGGTCCTAACCTAATACGGTCATAAAACACGTGTGCGCCGTTCTTACTCTTCAAAGGCTGTGTGACAGACCTCGAGCTGATCCCAATCAGTCACAATCCCGAGTTGAGCTTACTCCCCCTGCCTTGTGAGAGGATGTTGAGCCAAAGGCTCCGGGTGGAGTCCCTCAAACGAATATCCATATCCCCCACTACCTTTTGCGTCAGACTGTTGAGTCAAAGGCTAGAGGCAGGGCACATCGAACAAAATCCCCCTCTCGGAATAGGAAGCCAGAGAGGATCATCTGACCTCTCCATCACATCAACAGTATTTGCTCTTCTTGTCGTTCTCTCTCCTCTCCCTTCTTTCCCACTTATTGAGCAAGAGATTACCGCTGACCTCACAGCTGTTACTATTGGTACATGTAGGTCTTCCATCAAACCAATCGTCTCATTTCACATTGGTTCTTTAAACGTCCGCACTCTGGGTCAGATCAGTCGGCAAGCAGCACTGACTCTCATCCTTCACTCTATTGATGTGTGCTGTATCCCCGAAACACACATAAAGGATAACAGCGTCGTGACTCTCTGGTATTGAATTTGACGACAATAGCTACACACTTCACGTCTCTGGCGATGCTGAGCCATTAGCTCAAGGTATTTACGCTTTTGGTATCGCCCTCAGCAAACATGCTAAAACCAGTCTACTCGACTGGATGCCGGGGAACAACCGCATATGTGCGGTTCGACTACGAACCTCTATTGGAGTTAATAAGTACCGTCTGAAAAAAGGTGCATTTTCCTCGCCTTTATTTATGCCCCTACTGAATGCAATACAGAGAGCGTCAACAGTTCTCATCTTTTCTTTGCATGGCGAAAAATATTGACATCGTGGTTGTTGCTGGTGACATGAATGCCCAAGTGGGTCGTCTCTTACTCTGAACAACACATGGTAGGCCGCTTCGGCGTCCATGCACGCCGAACGGTGTTGATCGATTTCGGCGACTGCGCGCCGACCGCAGCTTTCACATTAGCAGCACCGCATTCCAGCACAAACGTTCACACCGCGTCACCTGGTACCCACCGAATTCCGCAGTGACCTGGACCCCAATTGACCATGTTGCCATCAGCTACCGATGGCACACATCGATCCAAGACTGTGGGTCATTTTGAAGCAAGTGCCTAGCTTTCGACCACGCTCTTGTGCGCGCACTGCTTACCACTGCCAGTGACAATGAAAACTTCCTTGCGAACATCATAACCGGCGATGAGACGTGGATTTAGTGAAACGAAGGTGCAGTCGTCGCAGCGGATGTGGAAATGGTCTAGCCCAAAAGGCATGCATGTGTCGGTCAGAGATCAAGGTGGTGTTTGTGATGTTTTTGACTGCAGACATTATCCACCAGGAAATTGTACCACGTGGTCAGCTAGTAGACAAGAAATTTTACCAGGGAATCCTAACGTGTTTGAGTGATGCTGTGCGCAAAAAGAGGTCAACTGTGAGAAAACCGGACCAGATGTTACATCATGACAGTGTGCCGGCTCACGCATCGCTTTTGTCCGCATTTATCTAGCAAAACATCGCACTTCTCTTGTGCCCCATCCACCTTATTCTCCGGACCTAGCTCCAGCAGACTTTTTCCTGTTTCCCAATGTTCAAACCACTTTGTAAGGACGTCGTTTCCAAATCATAGAAGCAATTCAGGACAATACGAAAAGAGACCTGCGCGCCATCTCAGAAAGTGCATTCTAGCAGGCTTACCAAAAATGAAGGCATCGTTGAGCACGGTGTATTGCCTGTAGAGTGGACTAATTTGAAGGGGGAACTGCTTAAAATGTTATACAATGAGCAATAATGATGTTATAGCAAAAGTTCGGTTTCTTTTTAAACACCCGTCATACCTCCATCTTTCTTTTTATCTCTACCCCTCTAGGTTATCGTCGTTCAATTTGCTGATGTACTACGATTGATGATGTTGATGGTTAGATGAATGGTCATGGGATGTAATCTGATTATCAGCCTCTTTTGCACGTTTTTCCTTTTATTTTTCTTGTCCAGGCTTCTTAGATTGACAACAAACAGGCCACTTCTGATGTCGTCGCTCATGAACACTGTTACTTACCTCCAGTTACTCTATTTACATTTCGGTCGGACAGCATTTGATTCAGTAGATTTCTTTGCTTTGTGAAGCTTATGAGGAAAAAATGTACCTGACAAGTCGCGACTATTCCGAAAGAACTGTACAGTCACACGTCGGGTAGAGTGTGGACTTATTGCAGGCTCTCCTTGTTTTCTGTCAGCAACAGCGTTCTCCAGAGTTGCCCTATTCTTTTATTTTACTATCAACGGCCATTCAACAAACACCAGATATCCGGAACTATGTTGTTAAGCCTCTCATTGGTGACCGAGTTGCAGACTTATTATGCCGATGTTATCGTTTTGCTGGGGGACGACTCAAAGGTAGTCAAAAACGCTAAATGATGGATGCTTCTAAGTGCGGCCTATATTTTACTCCCATGTAGCTGCAAGCTACCTTCATCAAACTGAGACATGTATAGCATCGTTACGATGCCAATCTTAAGCTAAAGGCCAAACTGTACAGGGCCTCCGTCTCTACGGTCTTCTTGCGCTGTTCACTCGGAAAACTTGAGACGATTGTTAGTTTTTGTCAACCGTTATCTGCGAAGAATTTCCCGTGTGCAATACGGAAGTTCACGACCGAACGCTTGAAGCGAACAGTTCTTGCTTTCAAGACGTTTCCTGACACCGTGTGCGTTGATTTGGTCACGTAGTACGCGTACTAGCTTATCGCTTTTCCGGTCGAGCATTGTTTACGCTCCCCGATAGTGATTAGAAAAAGTGCCGCGGTAGACAACCATTGATGTAGAAAAGAAGCATTAAGAAGGCTACATCAGTCGGACCAGTCTGTTTTTCAAGCAGAATTATACTGAACTGAGCCAGTTTGAATAGTGGAAAGAAGGAAGGTGACAATGGTCGAACTCTTTCGTTTTTCTACTCCTATATGCGACAAGCAAGGCGTTCCTATTCTGATTACACGACGGTTGGTGCAGAACCTGTCGGAAATGTACCACTGATTTACTCTTATTTGTATTTCGCAACTTTCTATACTTTTCCATTGTTGACTACGACTGGGCCGATCCTCTAAGGTGACAGAATAAAGGTTCTGGATTATTTAATACACCCACGTGTGCCGAATTGTCACAGACCTATTGGCGAGAAAAAATATGCCTAATCAAATCAAATTGGCACACATTCGTCGAGTGTAAAAGGTGTCAGCCTTGCGTCAGAAGCCAAACATGGGCTAAATGTCCTAAAAGAGTTTAAAAAAGCGGAAAACATGAGAGCTCACTTATATTTGCGAGCCTATTACTCATTATATATAACAGCCATAAAAATGAGCTGGTATATTGGTGGCTCATTTGCTTTATACCACACACGCAAGAGGCCAGATGGGATGTGGAAGTGCGGATGAAACCTTTCGAAGGAATACCCCGCATGCAAGCAGGTCCTCAGAAGTCAGTTCCACGGATAACCGTATTGATTCTGCTGTTTTTTCAATATCCACTTTCTTCGTACTTTTAATCCCTCCTTTTTACCATTTCTACCAATTGAACCCCCATAAACTTGATTTTGAACTGTTCTGGAAAATCCAAAATAACATCTAAACTTTAAGCTCATGTTGTACCAAATGACCAGTCCCACTAGTTGGGCTGTAGAACGCACAGTCGAGAAATATACATCCTCTACCTGTAGTTGTTATACTCGTGTTGGTCGCCTGGATAGGAAAATGACTGCGTTCGTTAACCACCGTCTTTGACACACTGTATTCCTTGAAGGGAGGGGGAAGCGCACAATTAGCTTATAGACACACCATCCAGCTGCATGACCTGAAGACCAGAAGCACTTCTCTGAAAGGGCACTTTATCTTGGTTCCCATCTTCTTGTTGAGACCTTGAGATCTCCTGTGGTGGGTAGGGATCCCACCTGGTATTGCGAATCTTGGAGATCAGTGTCTTGCATTTGCTTTTTGCTCTAGATATTTCCCTTTGTATGTGAGCATTTACTTGCTTTTTGCTCTTTCTTTTTGGTCTCTATTTTATTCTCCTTTTGTGTTGTTCTAGTGCCCCTAATTTTTGATGCTTCAAATCTTAGGATCTCTACCTGCCTTGTTTTGGTGGTCAGCTTAAGTTGCTAAACTGTGCTCAACTAAACAGCCGTACAACACTATTAGTGTCAGTTACACGGACGTTCTGTGGTTACCGTGTTCTTTTTATCATCCCTGAGTTTTCCCTTATCGATTATTCTGACGTCGTTCCTGAGCTTCTGGCACTGCAACCAGCATGATGATTTACCCAGTGGTTCATGAAACGGGAATTCTGGGAGTTTAACCTGACCATTGTTTCTCCTTTGAGAAGCCGCTTGTTACTGAACTCTTCTTTCACGCTTGTTATCCCCATGCTTATCTTTTGCAAGACCTTTGAATGTTACCCATTTTTATGTTATGCGGTAACTGGAGATGGCTTCTTGCTATTTTGTCGTCGATATTTCGATGCTTTTGCTTTATTACTACACATTCCACCCAGTGCTTTGGTCATTGTCATTATGCTCACTCTACTCATGGACCGCTGTCACCATCCTTAATCTGTTGTGCTGGATATCAGTGTTAACTCGCTGTTGTTTTACTACTTTGGGGGTCGACTTCGACGGTATCCGCTTTCTGTTTGGGGAAAACTGAAGCCATCCTTGCGATTAGTGCGAATCTTCACATAGTCACTCCTGGCCTGTTGGTGGCTTCATCAAACTCGTATTCCCAGTCTTCCACCGGCTCTGAGGCGCCATAACCACAACTGTGGTTATTTAATCCTTTCCCTCCCCGGTCATTGAGTTTGGTAGTTTTGCTTATCCTTACCTTGTGACGACTGTTGCTCTCACAATTGTATTTTCTTAACTGCCCTATAGAAACTGGTGGATCACAACAACTTGTATTCGGCAATGTCCATTGTCTCCGCTCTACAAGTTGAATGTATCTACAGGCTTCGGGACACTTGGGGTGGATTGAGCAACAAAGATAGAACAGCATATCGGAATTTAGAGGAGTTGTTTAGTCAAGAGAACAACTGCTATCGCCAGCGTGAGCATATGAAATCCGTTTCACTACCGGGAATTCCGTACTTGGGTAAGTTTCTAATCTAACTTAACAACGGCCATTGCTGGTTTGCCACATTTAACTCGTTTGGATCCATATTGTTGGTTCGCATTTTTCCATGGTTTTTGAATGGTCCGTCTCTAAATGAGTGAAACTAGCTTAGTGCTCACACTAAGTTAGCTGAGGTGTGTTTCTCGCCCTCAGCTAACATGTATTGGTGAGGATGATGAGCGCCCACATAGTTGCCCTTCTACTGGTAAGGTTCGTCATTACTACTCACTAATCAGATACCTGGTTGATTTTTCGGTCTTCAACATGTTCCCTACACAAGAGGACGACTGAGCACGTAGTAGACGGATTATTGAGGTTTCACTTCTAGCTCACCTAGAGTCACAACTTTCGGAATACTTAGCACAAGGGTTGTAGATAGTACCAACGCTATAAACTGGTCGAGTGAATTCCGGTGAATAGCCGTATACATGTGGTTCCAATCAGAACATATACTGTGTTTAATAAGTTACTTCTGAATACAATTCACATTTTTTCCTGTTTTCGTATATACCTTAAATGATCACCAAGACGAATTCTATCGACACTTCTCAACTCTTTTCGTATGGCCAAGAATACGAATATAGGAGTTATTGCAGGTGGATGAGCGATCAAGTCAGTCACTACTCAGGCTCTGAACAGCATCTGTTCAGCTGTTTCAAATCTGTGTCTGCTCTACAGCAACTGACCATCGATCTTTTCGATTGCGTGCTGACCACAACATTTACGCTGGCCTCAACTCTTTCCAACACAAGCGTTCACGTTATCTTACATGGCGACCACCCAGCTAAGCGATATCCTGCACCCGGATTGACCACATTTCCATCAATTCTCGACGAAGCACTTCAGTCCAACATTGTTAGTCCATCAAGCGCACATCTGGATTGTGATTACACTGTGGTTCCCGCGCATGTTGTTATATGTTTAAACTGGTCAATGGAACTCTAAACCAATGACCGCAGCTACAGTTAGACGCTGCTGTCTTGTATGCATATTTCGGGAACACAGCACATATCGGCCCCGATGGACTGAAACTTCATATCGAGTGCTGTTCTTTGACTGATCTGACATAGCCTTTAGACCCTAAGAGACCTGACGCGGAATAGGTCCCTACGTCTACAAGTCCGAGGTGCTCTTAGGTGACTGCCTACAGAGTTCTGCATAGAATAGGAAATGAGGCAATAGTTACGTGCACAGGTAACAGGGTCTTGTTGACCAATGACCATCTCCGACCGCTCGTCATGAAAGCATAGCTTGGTTCTGGTATGACCACCTCCATCATTTGATTCAACAGTTTGACCCATGAGTAGCTTAGGTGAAGGGATTTCTGCTTTGGGATTTTCACCGGAAGCATTTTACTCGGTGCTCTGATAACACATTACGGAGTAGACTCATCAAGGCTTATCTTCGAACCCTATCTCATATAGCCACTAGAAGATTAGTACAATTTGTTTGTGATTAACGATCGTGTTGTGTGACCTAATAGCAATCACAGTCAAGTCCAGGCGAGTTTTAATCAATTTGCATCTCATTTACTTGAGCATATGTAGCCTTAACTAGGTAGTAGCTCACCGGTGAGTAGAGGTCGCACTCTCCTACCCTTGCTGATACCTACCTAATTCTTAGTTCCTATTCCTATGTTTTGTGGGAAAAGGGCTCTTAATCCCTTTCCATCATTTTATGGGGAGGAGGTTGCAGCCATGATCTCTCAACTTTGGCCATTGGCTTGTCTAATATGAGCGGCTCTGGTGCATCATGCAAGTAACACGGTGTAGCACCTGATGGAGCTTGGGAGTGCGTGGACGACTGCGCCAGCTCAAACCCTTTCTACCCGTCTTAACTGAAGCTTACTACATTCTGCTCAAGATTATTTAACGACTCTTGTGTTACAGATGGTTCCCTCTTCGGGAGCTATAATACCCACGTGTTGCAAGTTGTTACTGTCTACCTTCCTCAGTTTACACTACAGTTGTTACAACCAGCGTAGCCATTTATTATCGCTCTTGACTCTCGTAATACCCACTGTGTGTTCAGAGTACCATCGTCATCATCATCAACAGCAGTACATCAGCCATTTGAACTGATGCTTCGCTGCCATACAACCATGAGGACCTATGAAATAGAGAATAAGAAGAGGGAGAGAAGGGGGACTTACCCAAAAACCTTGATGCCCTAAGCAAACATTCAGGGTCAAGGCGCCTACACCTTGTATAGACAACATTCCGTCACAAACAGCTGGCTACCGTGCAGATAAGGCGGCATCGACGAGACAGCTTCCTTGCGGCTTTCACTGCCCCGCGTCATAATCAGCCATTACCCCGCAGAAAACTCAGCACCAAACACACTTTAAACAGACAATCCGATTAGGAGACGGCAGCAGACGCGCCACTGGTGTCGGTTGCGAGCCATGTCCTGTAAAGTCTCAAGCCAAGCACAAGGTGAGTCACGCAGAATCCAACCCGGAAGGCGAGACGGACCAACGGCACCCAGTTTGGTCGTCAGTGACTTCATTTCTCGCTGCCAAGTCAACTTCTGTCCACCTCGAGCCTTGCGCCATACTACACCTGGTAGACTGAACAAGGCCCTCCTAGGTAAGTGGTGACCAGGCATGCGTAGCACGTGCCCGAGCCAACGCAACTTATTTAGTGCTATCTGTTGTTCTAGGGAACTAGCATGATTATCACCACCTAGTACTCGCCTACACACATCATCGTTGCGGACACGCTGGTGCCATCCGACACCAGCAATGCTTCGCAAACAACGATGATCAAAGACTTGAAGGCGCCTCAGATCTTCAGACCGAAGGGGCCAAGTTTCACTACCATAGAACAGAACGGCCCTCACTGTGGCCTTGTATACACGGCCTTTCAGACGGAGAGAGACTCCCTTCTGTCGCCAAAGATGCCGCAGGCTGAAGAAGGCAGCTCTGGCCTTTGCAATGCGTGAGCTCACGTCAGTTTCTATGCGCCCATCATTGCTGATGCAGCTGCCAAGATAAGTGAAATGATTAACCACCTCGAGTTGCTCGTTAGCAAGCGTCAAGGGGTCATCGAGTGGCTGGTGGTCCTGCAGCAACACTTTGCACTTTGAAGGTGCGAAGTGCATACCAAATAATGGGACCACTCTGCATAGGCTATTCAGGGTTGATTGTGCCGCCTCAACATTGTCGAAAAGCAAGACAATATCGTCCGCATAATCTAGATCAACTAACCTTCCACCAGGCAGCAATTCAACGCCTACATCTTGAGATTCCGCAAGGGAACACTCCATGATAGAATCCACGACGAAATTGAACAAAATGGGGAAATCAGACAACGCTGACGAACGCCACTTGTAGTCGAAAAGCTATCCGACAGGGCACCATAGACCCTGACGCGACCTCTAGTGTTCGAGTATAGAGCACGAAGGATGTTCACATATCTCGTGGGAACACCTTTTCGCGCAAGTGATTCGAACAGAATCGATCGATCGACTGAATCGAACGCACTCTTGAAATCGAGGAACACAGCTATTGTCGGTCTGCGGTATGCGTGGCGCTGCTCTAGCACCTGCCGCAAAGTAAATATATGGTCTATACAGCCACGTCGTGGGCGAAAACCGGCCTGCTCTTCCCTAATCCGAGATTCCCGTTCTGCTGTGAGGCGACGAACGAGAATCGAGGCCAGTAATTTTGTCACAACTGGCGTTAGGCTAATACCCCTGTGGTTCGCACAGTCTGTGCGACTGCCCTTCTTGTATATTGCACCATAATCGATTCGCTCCAATTAGCTGGCACACTCTTCGTTCCAGATACGTTCGAATAGGGAGGTAAGTGCCCTGCAGAGGACCTCACCTCCATCCTTAAATAGTGCAGGTGGGAGGGAATCCGGGTCAGCGGCACGAAAACGATTGAGGGCTGTGATCGCGTTTCGGACCTCGGCCTCCGACGGAAGCTCTAAACTAACCGTCCATGGCACGTCCTGCATCACCTGAGTAGGAAGAGGTCCGGGAGCAGGGGGCCAGCTAAACTGATCTTGAAAGTGTTCAGCCCAACGAGCCATACGGCGCTCCTTATTGTGTATCAGCGCACGTGCGCTGTCCTGATTGTCTCACTGACGCCTGGTTTTCTGGGACCAGTGGTGCGTATTAGCTGGAAGAGCTTGCGGTAATTGCCTACTGCTCCTGCCTCCACCATTTCTTGAGCCCGACTGGTCCACCAGGCTTCCTTGTCAGCACGTAGGCTCCGCTTTAGTTCACGCCTAATAGCCCGTCTGGTCACATTGTGTTCAGAACCAGCCGGGAGGTGTCTTCTAGCTTCCAACAGGTTCACGGACCTCTCGGATATCCAGTGACTGGTGCGGTGACGACTGATAGTGCCACAAACAGATGTTCCTACGTCGTGCATAGTGGCCGAGATCCTATTCCACTGAAAGTCTGTGTCATTGGGACAAGACAGCGAGAGTTCGCTATGCAGTGCTTCTTGATAGGCTTGCCTGACAGAGGGCTGGGACAACTTCTCCGTTGCCTATCGGGGGAGACGCTTTGTGCGCCTTCCGGTAAAGTTCATGGAGAAACGACAGCGCACCAAGGCATGATCAGAGTCGACACAGGTACTGCAGTACGAGCGGCAATCCAGAATGGAACCGCGCCACCTGTAACTTATGGCTATGTGGTCAATTTGGGTCCATCGCTGGCCAGCTACAGGTGGACGCCAAGTGGCACTTCGGCGCCCACTGTGTCTAAAAGCAGTGCTAGTAAGAAACAATTGGTGCTCCGCACACAGTTGCAGCATGCGCTCGCCGTTGTCAGTCCGTTCGGCGTTAAGTCCATACTTACCACCCAGCTGAGCTTCTGAAGAGCTCAGACGCCTTACTTGTGCGTTCATATCCCCTGCAAGTACTATAATATCTGAACTAGTAGTACTGCGTAGCAGCGTGTTCAGTTGGTGATAGAAAGTGTCCTTGACTGCATTAGAACTGCAGTCGGTGGGAGCATAAGCAGAAATCACTAACACACAGCGTTTTGTTTTACTTTGCGAATTCACCTTAGCTGATGTCGTCAAACGGGCTGCATATAAACGGCTGTTCACCGGAATCCAATCAACCAACGATGACTCAGCCTTGGAGCTGAGAATGATACCTACACCAGCTTGACCCGTGAGTGCCGCATCGGCGTCTCCGGATGCGTGCAACCAATGACGAGAGGATAAGCCGGGTGCAGTCAATTCAATAACCCCGTTAGGGTCATTAATCCTGGTTTCGGACACACAGCACACATCAACACCCAGTGTATCCAAGGTGCGTGCGAGTGCAGCCTGCTGACCTGTTTGTCTTAGAGTGCGGACGTTGAATGTCGCCATGGAAACGGGACGGCGTGGCCTCTTAAGGGACTTTTGCCGATAGGCGTCCGATAGGTGCTGTGGGATGGTGGCTGCAGATTATTCTACTCCAGTAGCACTTCGGTTGCTGTCAATTAAGCTGGGAATTATAGAAGGAAGGTTAGTAATGGGGGCCGGGATGGGTGTAAGAGAAAAAGGTGGAAAGGAAATAAGGGAGGCGCCAACAGTAGCATGTTTTCGCTTATCCGCCCAGCTGTATGCAGCAGATAAGGCGACCCTTGATAATCTGCGCGACGGCCGATGCAGGATGAAGTTTATGTTTGAAGAAAATGTCATGGTTGTATGTGGGCTGGGATACTGCCAGGGCGCCCAGACCTAGACAGGAGAACGATTAGGGTCCTCATCCAAAGCCTTTGGCTCAAAAGCCTGTCCGCAAGGCAGCGGTGTGGCAGTGATTTAGTTTTACAGAAATGGACGCCATCCCATTTCAAACCCCCAATCTGGAGGACCAGGAGACTGAGTTTGTCTGACCTCTCACCATTGACCAACCTGGTATGAATAGCTCTCAAGATGCTCGGAGGCATCACCCAGTATAGCTCAATGGGTCAATGAGGTACGCAAACCGTCGCACCACGTTAAGGTCCAGTCTCGTTGCGACGGGTTCAGAGTACCACAACAAAATGAAAAACAAAGTCAAGTCAATATAAGCTTGTGTATCCGTATGGGTACATTTTCAGCACTTTACGGTGTCAATTGCGTATGAAGCAAAGTAACGTCATGAAGGTTGCAAAGTTTTCTAAATGGATAAGCAAAAGGCATTGATGTCACTAGAGTAAAAAGGTCCGCATTCTTGGGCACTAAGCGCAAATTGATAAACAGAATCGGAGCGAGTGGAGTTATGTGAAGACATTCCTTCAGAATTAGTTTCAACCGGACGAAAAGTTCGTGGCCAAAGCAACAAATCGCGAATAGTGCGTGATATCTCGGCTTAGTATTCAAAATGCGGAGAGTAAAACAGTCTTGGTGACCTTGGAAGCACTTCGGACGAAGAAGCTCTCAGAATATTCCTTCAAAACTTTTATCTTTGCAATAGATAAAGTAAAAATAATGTCTAATGAAGAGGCGACGGCCGATTTAAAGGCGCTGCCAACACAGAATAATCCTCCAAAATTACCCCTTCCTCGCTATGGCCTCAAGGATGGGCTTTCCGTAGGTCATTATGAATTTCCTGGAATGGCGTTACAGACGTCTAAAAATGGAATTCGTTTCAGACGAACAATGTCCCATGGGCGGTTATTTTCTTCTCTTACTGTTGTACACAAGTGAGTTCCGTCTACACTGATGTTTAGAGAACCGTTTTCTTCATCAAACTCTCTTCCGCGATCATCTCTGTTTTCAATAGGCCCAATTTTTGATCACAGGATATACATCGTTTCGCCGCCGGATTTTTTCTTTTGTTACCAAGCATCTTTTTCCTGATCTGGTATTAGTTATAGCCATATTACTATCACAGCTCACTAATGTTTTTTCTTCCTTACAGGTCTTTATTTGTCAGATTTGACCTACACAAACGTTGCGCATCCTCGAGTTGGGGGAAAGCTGACCGACATTTGGATCTCGAAAATAAATACCCTCATCGACACAATTGTATATTTTCAAAAATCCGAATATCGTAAGTTTTTCATTACTCCAGACGTATATGTGCAATTAATAGCTCTACATTATGTATCGTATCGATGCTTAACTTGGCCTTTCGGCATCAGTAATGCCCAGTGAATAGTTGATTTCACAATGTCAGTGGCTGTTTATGAAAGCATCGGTTTAAAGACGGTGTCCTTGTCGACGAATTTTCCTTTCCACTTGGACTACTGTATTGACCGCATCTTTTCTACCGGGTTCCTGCACTCCTCTGCAGTTGAAGACAAGTTCAGGTGAATCAACAAATGACCTTCGCTTGTGACTTGAGATTATCAGCCTGCAAAATTTACGTGACTTGGTTTACGATTTTTCAGATAATAGTTCAGTGCAATTCATGCTTCACTGTCCAGAATCTCAAACATGGGTGATGCTCAAAGCCGTTGATTGTCTCATTAGGAGGCCACCTGGAAGTCATCTGGAACCGCATCCTGGTCTTCACAGTGGACTAATCTAAGAGTTCCGCTCTTCTTTACTTGAGATTGGGATCCAAAACCTTTGCATTGATGTCTTCTGGATACCCGTGTCTCATTTAAACCAAAATTCCCAGCTATGTTCACTTTTTCGTCCTGGACGATTCCGGAACTTGTATCTGATGCGGACGAAGTATCCTTTATTGTTGTATCGGTTTCGCCTCTCTCGGGCCCCAAGACCTGGCTGCTGAAGCTGACAGGACTTACCAACAATTTTTCTGAACAGCGTTTCATCTCATTTTTGTTACCTTTGACTCAATGTGCCATACGTGTGCGACTCACTTTCGCTGACAGCGCGAATTAGTCATATCACTTGGACTTCACCATTTTGTCCCTGTTACCTTCTGTCCTATTTGGATAGCTCCTAAGTACTTCCTCCGCCAGGATGATCTCAAGTTTACTCATTATTTTCACCTTTACATTTCACTGAAGAATCTAGTTCTCTTGTTATTTGCACGCAAAACTCGTATCTTTTGCTTTTCCCATACCTACTCATTTATTCGATCGATTCGTCCTATCAACATGCAGTGGAAGGAAGCCATTGTCATATCGCGTCATAAATCAGGATCCCTGTTCAAAACAGAATTATCACCTAATATTTCATGCATCTGTCCTATCGAAAACGTTGAAGCGACATATAATAGCTACAACAGTCGATTTCCTACTGTCACGGAAGTTAATCAACGACTCTCAGCACGATTTTCTGTGTGCTCGTTCATGTTTAATTTGCCAACTTGCATTTTTACATCATCTGACTGCCTCACAGGATAACCGTTATTAACTTCGACATGCACAAAACTTTTGATCGAGTGCCTCACGGAGAACTAATAACCAAAATAATATCGGATGGAATCGGAGAACATCTGCTTTCGTGGTTTAAATCGTACCTTACAAATGGAACGCAGATGGTACAGATTCAGAAAGCAAGTCTGAACCAACAACGGTCACAAGTGGTGTATTACAGAGTAGTGTCTTTGGTCTATGCTAACGATATCTTTGCGCATTGAAATTCGGAACGTCATGCGTTTATGCCACGATATCAAACTTGTCTGCACCTTTCACTGCTACCATAAACGAAGCTACCGACATGATCTAGCTCGACCTCCACACCTTAGGAACTTGGTGCTCAAAGTACGTGTTACATATTGTCTTACAAACGCGATCTGACCAGTTATCATAAGCCACTTAATGTATGCCACACCATCCGGGATCTGGATCTGAAATGCTCATGCTCACATAGCTTCTCCGAACAACTCGCCTTGAAGAACAGAGTTTACAATGCACCCGTCCGTTCAATTCTCTTATACGGTTGCGAAACTTGGTCCATTCGATCAACAGACATAAAGAGGCTAGTTACGTTCCACCATCGCTGCCTTCGCAGCTTAACTCATGTCTGGTGGGCGCACCGCATGAGCAAAGAGCGTATTCGGGGTCGTGTATTTGGTGCAGGAAGAGCTAGTGAGCCGCCCAGCACCCATTATATCGCGCATCAGGCACCAGGCGCATGACAGCACACCGACCCCCGCGTTGTTTGCGCGTCGAGGGTGTGGATAGAAAAAGAGAAAGGGTGACCAAGCGATGACTTGATCACGAGGAATGAAATCCCTCACTTCGAAGTTGGCGTCAGTTGCTGCATCCGACTGCCTGGCTGGTGTCCGAAGTATGATGGACACGTCTGGTTGGATACACTAGTTGACATGGCAAGAAGCTGACTTAAGTGACGTTTGTGTTATGAATTTATTTGTCCCTCCCCATCAAGCTTATCTTCCCCACCCAAACACCATCTCTCTTGACGCATAATGTTACTAAGCGGTGTGTTGCCTGTATTTTTTGCATTCTTTAATTTTCAGTATCTTATTTTTTCATGTCTTATCTTTGTCTCGCAACAATAGTTTCTCGCCTTCAGCTACTGTGTAACGATGATGATGATAAGCTTGCCTCACTGCAAAGGCCAGACAGAGCATTAGAATGTTATTTAGAACTTCATTCATTCATCATACACGTCAGCTAGAGGTGGAAAACACGGCTATTGCGCCGCAATACATGAAGGAAATACATACATACATACATACGATACAATACACAAAGGAAAAATAGATACAACAGTTGCATGCCAGCTGAGCTACCAGCAACGGGTAGGCATCGTTCCGGTAAGCTACCAGCCAGCTACTAGGCAAAAAGAAAAAAATTATGTTTTACCCTACGAAATGAGATCGTAGATGGAGGGGGAGGCTAAAAGGGATGGGAGGGACAAAGAAACTCACAACAGGAACGCCACTGAGGTCGGCTCCTTGCCATGTCAGCAAGTGTATGCAGCCAAACGTGTTCATCGTCTTTTGGACCCCAACCAGGGAGCCGTGACGCTCCAACCGAAGCCTACTCAGAAGTGAGGGACTTCATTCCCTTGGACCAAGTCATCGCTTGGCCACCTCTCCTCTTCTTCCACCCACATCCCCGGTGAGCAAACAACGCACGTCGAGGGAGTCGGTAGGCTGGCATGCGTAACACGTGGCCCAGCCATCGGAGCCTGGTGCGGGAAATAACGGTGCTGAGCGGTTCAGATCCTTTTCCTGGGCCGTAAACAATGCATCGAACACACTCACCATATGTGAGCCAAACTGCGAAGGCACCGATGGTCGAACGTAACTAGCCTGTTCATGTCCGCCGATCTTAGGGGCCAGGTTTCGCAACCGTACAGTAGGGTCAAACCTACCGCTGCATTGTACACTATCCTTCGGGGCGAGAGTGATGTCGCGCCTCCGCCATAGGTTGCGAAGACTAGCAAAAGCACTTCTAGCTTTCGCTATACGGTTCGTGATCTCTTCGATCCCAAGGGCGCTGATACAACTTCCCAGGTAATTGAATTTCTGAACGACTTCTAGTTGATCCCCACCAAGGGTCAGCTCAGGAGGCGATCCCTGCCAATCTTCGAGGAACGCTTTGCACTTCGATGGTGCAAAGCAAAGCCCGAAGCGGCTGACAGCCAGTGCTAATCTGTCCAGCGCGGCTTGGCACGTCTGGGAGCTGTCACAGATGAGGGCAATGTCATCTGCATACTCCAAGTCAAGAAGTCGTTCTCCTGGGAGTAGCTCCACACCTTCCAAGTCATGTCCTATAAATGCAACCTCCATGACTTCATCAATAGCGAAGTTGAAGAAGAAAGGTGACAGCGCGCATCCTTGTCTCACACCGTTGGAGATATTGAAGGGTGGCGACAGCTTACCGTAAGCCATCACCCTGCCCGTGTTACGCGCATATAATGCTCAGATAATACGTACATATTTCTCGGGCACACCTTTCCTTAGTAGACAATTCCAAAGGGCACATCGATCAACCGAATCGAAGGCACCTTTGATGTCGAGAAACACGACTACGGTGGGCCGCCAATATGTGTGACGGTGCTCCAACAATTGACGCAAGGTGAAGATGTGGTCAATGCAGCCACGACCACGACGAAACCCGGCTTGCTCCTCACGAATCTGGCTTTCACGAGCGCCAGTCAGTCTGTGAAGGATAATGGAGGCGAGTAATTTGGAGGCGATGGAGATCAGACTGATTCCTCTATGGTTGCCGCATTCCGAGCGCGAGCCGCCTTTGAAGATGGGAACAATAACGGAGCGGCTCCAGTCGGTTGGGACAGTCTCCTGCTCCCACAGTTTCACTAGTAATTCATGTAATGCATCAACAAGGGCAGAGCCTCCGAATTTGAAGTGGGCTGAAGGAGGATCATCTGGTCCCGCGGCTTTGTTCAATTTAGAACTTTCAAATCAATAGATTCCATACTCTGCGCTTATTCATCACTTTCTCGTCCCCTATTGGAATATTGTTCAGTGGTGTACAGTAGCACAAACAAGAGACCGCAATGTACTAGAAAATGTACAACGTACATTCACAAAGCGCTTATTAGGTGCCTTATGTGGATTAGAATATTTCGAGCAATGTGCGAAACTCAAACTTGATCCGCTCTGGCGTGGTGCGTGGAGCACAACCCACTCATATTCCTTAATGTCCTGCCCAAGAAAATGCACGTTTCCAACCTTGACACGGCAATAATACAGTCACCATTATGCAACACACTAGATAATAAGAATCCTGTAGTGGAACGCAGGTCGAAGATTACCAGATCCTCAAACTTTTTCCTCAACAGATATACCAGAATCTGGAACAAATTACCTTCCGGAATACGTGCTTGTAATTCAGAGCATGAAGTTCGCACACGAACCAGCAAGCACTTGACTGTGCAAAACGTGATCAGACTGTTAGGATGTCATATAACAAATTGCCAAGCATACGAAAAGATCCAAAGTTCATATGATCAAGAAGACAGTCTAAAACAGAAAGGGAATGTTGAAGTGGCAAAATCCCTACATTCACCGTCTTCCTCTTCTTTCTTCCTCTTACATGACTCTGGCGACCAATGAGTGTGTCTTGCGGGAGGAAGCCAATTGAACACACCTTGACATTCTCCATCTTCGTCGTCGATGTTCCTATTGCTCTTATTGCA